CATCCTGTCAGCCCCATTTTATCCGTGATTCGCCCAAGATCTCATGGTTTTTTTCCCCTCTTGCAGGCAATGAAGGTTCTCTCCAAAAAGAAGCTGATGAGGCAGGCAGGCTTTCCCCGTAAGTGGCGGAAAAGCTTTAGGGTAGGGGATGATCTGGGGACCCCAGGGGGTCATTCCCAACTGGACAACCCATCGTTGCCTTTCCCGCAGGCCGCCCGCCGCCCCGCGGGGCCAGAGCTGCCTCCGAGGGCTGCCTGCAGCCCAGAGGGCCCATCGAACAGGTCTACCAGGAGATCGCCATCCTGAAGAAGCTGGACCACCCCAACGTGGTGAAGCTGGTGGAGGTGAGCCCCGGCCAGCCCCTTCCTGAAACCCACCCCGAGCGTGAAGGAGCCTGGCTGCTGCGGGGATGAGCTGCGCATGGGCTCGGGTGGAGGGAGGGACTCCAGAGGGGCTGGAATGGCCTGGCATGTCCTGAATGCGGGAGACTCGTGTTTTTCCCAGTTTAAAAGGCTTTTTATCCCTCCTCGTCCAACGAGGATTTTTTTCTTCTCTGCTTGGGAAGGGAAATGCAGAAAAATGCTGCTTCCCTGGAGGAGAAACTGTTGTTTCCATGGGTTCTGTGGTGCAACCAACCTGCCCTCCGCCCACTGCCTGTATGAAACGGTCCAAAAATCAAGAATTAAGGATGCACAGGCTGGAGTTTATATGGCTCATGAGTCAGATGATGCTTCCTGTATGTTTTAAATATTTCCTTCCTTGGAATACAGCTATATCTCTGTCCTCTTGTGGGGTTTTTTCCCACCCCTCGTGGGGAGAAGCTTGGAGATTAGCAGGCTGTGCAGATGGTGCAGAACTGAGGTGGCTGCTAAATAAAATAAAAGTCACAGTGTTTAATTTGCAAGGGCTTTTTGGTGCCATTTAATTGCCATTTCGCTTCTTTTGGCAGGTCCTGGATGATCCCAGCGAGGACCACCTGTACATGGGTACCTGCTGCGCTCGTGGGGTGTCGGGGGTTGGCGTTTGCTGCGGCGAAGGGTTCCCCCTGTGTTCCTGGGTGGCTGCGTGCAGGGTTGTGTCTCTCCTCCGGAGCCGGCGTGGCCTGGATGTGCTGGAGGAGCGCATCCCCTCGAATGGTCGGAGCAAAGGGGATGCAGCCTGGGTTCAGGAAGGAGACAGGAGCGCTTTCTGGCACTTCGTAGGCTTTAACTGTCCATCCGGGCATGCTTTGCCATGAGCGGTAGCAGCGTTTGCGTCCTCAGCTCTGAAGCTGGGCTGCTAGCAGCAGCTTTGTTGCTTGGGCTTCCAGAACAAGGCACGCGTTAATTGTCCACGGCACAAATGAGCTCCTTCACGACCTGCCTTGCAGACTGCAGGGCTTTGCTTGATCTCAACACACGCTTCTGGAGGAGGCATTTCTCTTCCCACCGTTTGCGTACAGCCCGTACGATCGGGGCAGCGAGCGAGAGGTTTGCTTGGCCTGGGTTCTGCAGGCAAACCGGGGCTTTCAGCGTGCCGCGTGGAGGGCGCTTCAGGGTGCTGAAGCTGCAGCACTGAGCAGGTGGTTGGCAGCATCCCCTTAACTGAAGATGGAAACAACCCAAATGCCACATGCCTTGCCCGAGATGGCATCTCCTTTTTTAAAAAAATGCATTATTTCTGGAGTGTTTTGTCACTGATATCATTGCTTTGTGCCGAGTCTGTGCTCGCGGGAGGCCTAACCTCTAAGTGATCTGTAACCGCCTTCCCTTTTGCCTTCCAGTGTTTGAGCTGGTGAAGCAAGGGTGAGTATTGTACTCCAGATTTAAACCTACCGAAGCCTGAACGCAGGACGGGCACGGGGGGCTCAGCTCGGCCTCCCGAGGCGGGCGCGGGGTGCAGCGGTGATGGGAGGCTCGCGGTGGGTCCCCTGCGGATTGGGGTGCCCCAACCCAGCCACGGTGTGTACACCCGCTGTGTGGCAGCGTCGGGCCACG